ATGTGTCTTTGAATAAAAGTGTTTGTCTGGAAATCTGTTTAAAGTCCATCATTGTCATTGTGACCTTCTCAATCTCTTTATTTCTGTGCTCCCACACCACCTTGCAGTCCTAATTTAGATACTATGCATACAATTTAGAGTCAGTAAACCACAAAGATAGAAAAAAAAACATCAGAGAGGTGGCTATAATTTAAGAAAATGGAGTACAGGTACAGTACATGGCTGTTTATGGCTACGTTCATACTGCAGGTACAAGTGTTTTTTTTTTTTGGTCTGCAGTCTAAACGTGGCCTATGACTGTTATAGCTTTTATTACTAAGCCATATCACAGGGCTTTGGGCTTCTGTACAGTGTACATCTTTTTATGTACAATAATCAATGCATGTAGTTTTTCACACCTGATGATGAGAAGAAGAAGAAGAAGAAGAAGAAGAAGAAGAAGAAGAAGAAGAAGAAGAAGAAGAAGAAGAAGAAGAAGAAGAAGAAGAAGAAGAAGAAGAAGAAGAAGAAGAAGAAGAAGAAGAAGAAGAAGAAGAAGAAGAAGAAGAAGAAGAAGAAGAAGAAGAAGACTAGGGAAATTTTCTTTGCACTCTTTTGTTATACACACACAGGCTGAAATGCACACTTCATGCACTTGTGGACATGCAAAGGGGAGAGAGATGGTGGAGTGATGGGGCGATGTGGCTGCAACGTTACCGGCGCCCCATGAGCAGGTTTTGGGGTTAGGTTGCCTTGCTCAAGGGCACCTCGGCAGTGCACAGGAGGTGAAACTGGCACCTCTCCAGCTACCAGTCCACACTCCATATTTTGTGGTCTGTGGGACTTGAACCGGCGACCCTCCGGTTCCCAAGCCAAGCCTCAGCTTCTGGTTGCGGCTGGCTGAGCATAAATTTAAATTCAGATTTGATTTGTCAGATTTTTCACCACACACGCTTTTATAATACATACTGTAGCTGAAGTTTGTAGCGTCTATGTAGAAGGGACATAATCCCGATAAGGTGTCTGCTGCGCATTAGGAGCTTTTAATGCTTTTTTCAATAAAAACCTAAAGTTTTTTTACATGCCATAACTCCATTTCCTTGGTAACACCTGAGGTCCTTCCTAATAGCTGGGAGAATCATTACCATCCCATAAGGTTTTAATGCAATGGAAATGTTATTCATTACTCCAGTGAATAGGATGAGGAAGACAAGACTGGGGGAGTTGTTTCTAGTTCCCTCTGTTCATAGAGCGCTTTGGCTCAGCTACGAGCCAGAGAGCTAATGTTATGCTAGCAAGAGTCAAAGGTAACAAATTATATTTAAAACATGCGGTTGGTTGGTTAGTTGCCTAACTGTATGTTTTGTTTTTGGAAAATGAATGGTGGTACAGTATGCCACAAAAGGGAATTCTGAACTTGTCTTTTACCAAATCATTATAGAATCATTAGCAAGTAACACAAGCAAGCAACACTTGTTTATAGTAGAGTACAACGGAGCACATTGGATGAAAATGACGGTATGCTTTGCAGAAAACTAATACGTTTAAAGCTGTATATACTGTACATACAGACATAAATACACACTCTTACAGTTCATTAAAGAGTATATCCACAGTTGAGCAAAGGGGTGGGAATTTGTAACCAACTAGTTGTTAAAACTCAAGCGTTGCCAGGGTCAGTATTAAAAATGTTGAATATGTTTTTATGTTTGAACTAAAATGAAATGAATACTTATTAAAATTAAGTTACAGTTTCAGTTCAGTTTTTCTCATCCCTAATTGAACACCGTTATGTACTGAGCTGCACATGCACCTCTAAGTTAGCACTTACAATTCCTTAGATCCTCTCCTGCTGCTCCCACCTCTATAAGGTTTCAATAAGAATGTGAGATCACATTCATTGGGGTTTTACTGCAGGTTAAAACTCTCTCACACACACCTCCACCTTTCTCGTGTGAAAACATTCTCCGGTGTGACATTACAGGTGATTTCCTTTTTCTCTTCTCTGACTCTCTCTGTCTCTCCCCTTTCTATATCACCGGAAACTATAAAACTTTCAGTCCTAGTTTTATGGGAACTTCTTATTGTTTGGAAAGTTATTTTTATTGTCTTCAAAATGCCTCTGGCTGTAGTGCCTCAGTGTTCACACTAAGAATCAGACTGTGGTTCACATGTGGAGTCACCAGGGGTGCTGTGCTGTCTCTCCAGTACTACTTCTGTGTTTATTGTCATTAACATGTCATATCATCCTAAACTAACTATTTTGTTGCAGAAATTACACTAATCCATTAAACACTTTTAAAGGAAGTTCTTGCTTACAGGACAAAAAAAATAATAATTTAACTTAATCTCTTTAAAAACAACAATTAAGATTAATTAAATAATTTACAAAGATGTTATTTTAAAAAACAACATCCAGTCATGAGGAATTGTTAAGAAGTTTTCAGATAATTTAAAAGTACCACAATCCAAACATAAAAGTCTGTGTTTAGAGTTAGAGCAGTTACAGCTGAGTGATCTATAGGTAGAAATGGATTATAATATTCATAGGTATGTTGTCATAAGTGTATAATCACTTGAAAATAAGAAATTTTGTGTTTTCATTTACTTAGAATGAGCTGTTTTTATCTACAGAGGGGGCGACACCTCTTCTATGTTGTTCGCCATGTTTCTACAGTAGCCCAGAATAGACAAATCAAACACTGGCTCTATGTAGGGCCTTCCACGAGTTTCACAGTCAACAGTGATAGGAAATTGAAACTACTGTCATTGGGCAAAATGCCAGCTTAAGTGTTTCCTAAATTATATAATTGATATTGTCTGATTGCACATTCATTGTTGCTTTTAAAGTTGCAAATACAACTTGCTGACAGCTGTTATATTATGCATTAGAGTGCAAGTGCTTTCCCCTGTAAGTAAAAGTTCAATGACTTTAAAAACAGAAACTTAGAATGTTTAACCATTTACATAGAAGTCCATCAAATACTCAATGTTGACACAGCGTCTTTCCTCTCAACATCACTTAATGACCCTATAATTATCAAAGAAAAATATTTAAGTAAGTTTATCATCATGTGTGCGCCTCCTCCTATAATTATGATCATTGTTGACACCTATTAAATGCAGTGTTAGTTGTTTGATTTGGCAGTTCTCAAGAACACCTGAGTAAAATCTTGAACCACAAGTTTGAAGCCGACAACGTGTCCTTCTGCATGCTTCCTTTTGAGATAACTAACTTGAGCCCTGTATATCATCTTAGAATAAGCTGTTCTCAGCTGTTCTTCATCTCAATTATGTTATTGATTATTAAAGAATACATAATATGCTAATCTCATGTCTTTCAAGTAGGAATAAGAAAACACCCATTGTTGAAATTGTGAATTATTATGTCATTCCTAATAATGTATTGTATTTTAGTGTGAGAATTAGGGTCCTCACTGACAAATACATTGCAGCTGCAGTGGTGTTTCATGAAGTCAAAGATATGGTGTCTTTCATTGTTTTTAGGGAAAAAACAAACCCTAAATAAAATTAACTGAAGTTGTGAAAATGTTTTTATTTGTAGGCCGTATCGTCCAGTCCTAGGTAGTACTCAACTTGTGCAGGTTCAGGCACCTTAGCTAAAAACATGTTTCAAACTAGGGAATATCTTGTAATGGCCAAGCAAAATGTAGAGGTTCCTTGTGTTCTTTCACCCACACATACCTCTGTCTGTCTCACTTTCCCTCTCTGTCCTCAACTGTCCTGTTATTGCTAACAGAGAACGGTGTGTTTGCTAGCTGGTGTTGTTATCTGTTTACAAGCCAGTGTTTGTTCAGAGCTTGATCATGTTACAGGACAACCCATGGTAGTCTCAGTCACGTTCACACACAACACACACTCATACACACACACAGAGACACACACCCCAACAGTAGTCTAGTTTAGACTGTCAGCTAATCCTCAAGCAGTTGCTGAGGCATCAGTCCAGCTGAACTCATTGGTTTTTGGCCCGGTCTCCCACAGCCCAGGGCTTCTGTATGTCAGGGGACGACTGCTAGACCTTATATGAAATCTTATTTTGGTGGTTTTGTTTTAATCAAGTTTATTTTTGGCAAAACATTTGATAGTTTTATGTTACAATATTAGCCCAGCGTCTCCTCTCCTTGCTTCTCCTCTCCTTTAGTTGCATTGTTGGTTATCCTCCCTGCTCCTTATTAGGAAAAAGATTCCAGTCCTTTTGGAAAATATTTTCTGATTAATGGTTGATTGGCTGGTGGTTGAGAAGTGTGAAGAGTTCATTTGGAGGATCTTTATCGACAGCGAGACGAGAACACCGTGTTAGCAGGAGAGAGACATTGTTGACAAGCCAAACTAAACATTCTCCCTCTTTTTTCCCCTCTATGCTTTCTCTTCCTTTTTACCTCTCTGCCTCTTACTTGCTGTACTACTTGTCCATCAAACCTCTCTCTATCTCTGTTTGTCAGTTTTTTATTGCTAACACTCTGCTCTTTAAGGATGGAAATTTAATAATCCTCTTGTGGAAAATGTGCCTACACAGGACAAAATAGTAGGATAAAGCAAAAATGGAATTTAAAAGTGAAAAAATATACAGCCTGGGGATTATGCAAACAGAACATGATTATGTAAAGTCCATTTAAAAAGTCTGCAATAAGACATACTGGGTAGACATGTTTGGATGAAAATATGACGAAAAATTACAGCATTGCGCTGCCAAAGGCAGCAGTATTAGTTTTAGAAAATAACAGGAATTTGATACATGAAAGTTTCTACTACTTTTCCTGAAGAGTGCTTGCTCATAAGCAAACAAATCCCACTATTTCTGAATCAAAGGTGGACAAATTGTGTGTGTGTGTGTGTGTGTGTGTGTGTGTGTGTGTGTGTGTGTGTGTGTGTGTGTGTGTGTGTGTGTGTGTGTGTTCGTTCTCTCTGCTAGTCCAGTTTTCAGTCTGACGTTCGTTCTGTTTGTGTGTGTGTTTAATTATGTATGTGGGTTTTTTTTTTTAAATGTGAATTTCTAGCATGATGTGTCAGCCGGATCTCTGAAGGCAGCACTGGACGGCGTGGTGCAGGAATGTGTGAGCTTTGTAGGAGTGGACATCAACATCTGCTCCGAGACACTGATGAGGTACACACAAAGACACATACATACTGTACATGTGTGAACGCAAGCACTCTCTCCTGTACACACACACTCAGACACACATTCAAATTGGGGAAACCGAGATGAAGTAGGGCTTATATGTCTGACATACTTACCCTTAGCAGTCACAACATGGCAAACCTTCATTCACACTTATGCACAGCCGCATGCGCAATGTATACACCTACATTTACACAAACACACACACGGCCTGCCAGCTTTTTGTTGAGACTAATGCTGAACACACCCTGGCCTCACTTACTGGGTCGCCTGTAAACAACAGAGGGCATTAGGCGAGGTAGATGCACACACACATCACACACTCAAAGAACATAGTACATGTATGGATAAAGTCGCAAATGTTTTTGGTAGAATACTGTGCACACATACACTTATTTACTGTGTACAGCACATACACATGACTCAAAAGTACAGGAAGTGCACACATTCGATATATTCATACACACTTGCAGCGGATACAAACAGTATAAAATGAGCTGGCGTTAGCTGCAGGGCAGGCATCAGGTCATCTGTTTACCTGTCTGCTCTGCAAGTGAGCTTTTCCATTCCTGCCAGAAGTTATGTTACACACATTAAACACACACAGACGTGTTGATGACTGAGGTATTATGTGGAGTGTTGACATTTCTGTGTGTTTTAGTGTGAGTGAGTCACTGTGGACATTAACAGAGCAGACCTAATTGAGTTTCAAATCACCTCTTTTCATTGCTCAACCAAAAGTGGACAAATATACTCACTAGATATTGGCTCATGTGTGTCTCTTGTGACAGTTGCCCCTGCTTGTTTAAATGCCAAGTCATGGTCTGCGCAATCTGCTCTGTTTGTTTGTATATTATAGAAATTTGGTGTAGGCAGCATGTAAAGAAGTGCTACAGAGTTGTGTGTAGTTATACAGTAGATATCTTATTTTGAAACTAAACTTTTTCTCCCCAAGTTTTATTTTTTACTAAAATAAAGATATAGACCTCAGAAAACTTCCAGAAATGATTTTCATAAATAGATGTGTTTTGTAACATTTTCCCATTTTATTTGTTGTTTTATCTCCAAGACATGTCGCAGGCCTAAATGCAGGCAGGGCGAAGAATATTGCAGAGTGGAGAGAGCTGAATGGTCCCTTCATCAACAGGGAGCAACTCAAACTGGTCAAAGGCATGGGGCCCAAAACCTACCAGCAGTGTGCCGGCTTCATTAGAATCAACCCGCAAACCAGGTACACACTCTAAACTGTATGTGCAGATGCATACACATGCACAGGCACATACAGTTGACTCAGATTCTGTTTCACATTGTTGTTTTGTTTTTACATATTTCTCATTAAAGGGATCAGTTTACACAATTTGCAAAAAAACATTTTTACCACTATCTTTTAGTGGTATCTAGCCAAGCAGGTGGTTTTGGTTTAATTCACCCAGATTTTGAGATCTCTTAGATTTCCTCAGTGGAATTTGTTTGTGGTGCTCAGAGCATTAAAAATGATATTTCAGAAATTAAATGGCAAACTTGGCAAAGGTTCAGCTTCACTGTTATTTTGCTTTCATTTCTTATATGATAATAATAATAATAATAATTGTGTAATGTGTTGAAAACTGTGATATTTTCTGAGATGATTATCATACAGTGAAAATCTCATACTGTTGCAACCCTTCACTGTATTGGGGTGGAAGCAGGAATCTCAGATGTTTCTGACAAAATAAAACTTAAAAAAATATGTTTAGATATAGATATTTGGTGAATCTACCCTTTGATGTATAATTGTGTTTTGATATGAGACCTTTCTAAGACTTGGACTTTCTTTATAAATTTAAAATGCCTCTCTTTCTTTTCAAAACAGTGTCAAACCCTCACCTCACCCTGTGTCAGTAGTGCCAGAGAAACCAGCAGCTAAGAAGGGCAAAGGAAAGACTGGTGTCAACATACCAACCTCATTTAACCCCCTGGATCAGACCTGTATACACCCAGAGTCCTACCATGTGGCACAGAGGTACAGTAAACACCAATATACAAACACAAAACCACACACTCTTGTACACCAGCACACCCCACTGGCCAAAGCATGTTCGGGCAAAGATGGAGTTGATTTTGACACCGTCTCATATGGGGATAGTTATAGTGGTGGAGGCCTGTGATTTGATTTACACAGACATGGGATACAAGAGAGGAGGCATTGGCTGTGTGTGTGTGTGTGTGTGTGTGTGTGTGTGTGTGTGTGTGTGTGTGTGTGTGTGTGTGTGTGTGTGTGTGTGTGTGTGTGTGTGTGTGTGTGTGTCCTTGTGTGTCCTTGTGTTTCCTTGTGTTTCCTTGTGTGAGAAATGATTGTTAGCGCTGCTGATGCTGATATCAAAAGCACATTGAACATCTGCCCAAGACTTGTACTGTGTGTGTGTGTGTGTGTGTGTGTGTGTGTGTGTGTGTGTGTGTGTGTGTGTGTGTGTGTGTGTGTGTGTCTGTGCGCGTGCGTGCTTGCATGCGTGAGAGAAAGAGACAGACACTACAGCTGTAGTCACTCAACTGTGTTTAGTCTACATAAGTTCTGACACTGGTGGCTCTAAGCATCGCTCCCCTCATGTTGATGCACCTTTAATGGCCTCGTGCATGTATGTGGGTGTGTGTGTGTGTGTGTGTGTGTGTGTGTGTGTGTGTGTGTGTGTGTGTGTGTGTGTGTGTGTGTGTGTGTGTGTGTGTGTGTGTGTGTCTGTGCTCACATGTGTGAAGATAGATTGATGCCACTTGTATGAAACTGTGTTTTGCTTGTCTTTCCTACTTCAACTAAGTGACCGTGTGTGTTTGTGGGTTTATTTGTCTGTGTGTTCAGTATATACTGTATAGTATAATTGTTCATAAAAGACAAATCACCTCTACCCCTCTACTCCTTTCCTAGTATATGTGCACTCCTTCTCTTCTCTCGCCAAATTCTCTCCCCACAGCTTGTTTCTTTGAATTTCCATTTTATTCTTGTATTCCAGATAGACACTTTTCTCTTTCTCATCCATCCATCTTTCTCTCTCTTTCACATTTTCTTTCTCAGTGGTGTTTGTTATCAAAACTCAGTAAGGTGCCCAATTGCTGCTGTTGTAATGGGGCCCTCTTAAATGTCAGTCATCATTACTCACACCGGGCAGGGTGTGTTTGTGTGTGTTTTTGTGTCACATGTTTTATATGTGTTTCAGTTTTAATTGTCAATCAGTCAGGGTTGGAGGTTGCTTTATTTGCTGATTAATCTGCGTTTAGAAAATGTTGTATCCTTTCTTGTGACTACCTTATAGTCCATGTCTGGCAATTCTATGCAAATTCATCCCACTTGCTCGAATATATTTTGTGATAGCCTCAATTTCACAAACTATTGCAGAATATGAGAACCACAATTTTAAGAACATCCCAAAGCCTGTATTGTGGTTTTACAGTGTCATATCCCTCTTTAAATGTTAATGGGGACGATGAGTGTGACGAGTGGGGTTGAGGTCTGATGATGGTGCAGGAAAAGCCACGCATGTCAGCACTTGCTCTTCCTTGGAATTTGGACAGCCTGGTGTAGTTTTGATGCAATAGAGAATAAATCATCTTCCACTGTACTTCAAATCAGAGGGTACACAAAACCAATCTTGCTGTCTCGGTGAGTTCTGTTGTTAATAGAAAGTCCTCATTTGATTTAGAATATAAAAGTAAAAATGACATTGCAGTTAACAGTGCATAACTTTTCCCTCCGTACTCCATTGACCAGCAAAGATTTTTTCCGCTTTACTTTTGAAATGAAATCTTATTTTTAAATTCTCTGGAAAACACTATAGAGTCACAGATTAGTATACCAGGACACATTAAATCTCTCTTTAAATGAAAAGTCTTAAATTGTGTAGAGCATTAGATGTTAGTGCATCACTAAGATGGCTCACTCCTCTTCTCACATCCTCACCTACAACCGAAGAAAACGGGAGGTATGGAGGGAGGATTGTGGAGGAATGCTGTTTGTGTGTGTGTGTCTTTATGGCGTATAAGGAATATCATGTTCATCACATTAGTGGAACTCGATCCTCCATTACTGCTCACAGCCCACACATCACCCCCTTTTTGTAACCATATACAACACACACACACACACACACACACACACACACACACACACACACACACACACACACACACACAATTTGATTCAGAAATAGTGGGATTTGTTTGCTTAAAAGCAAATATACCTCTGAAACTTTTCTGTAAAGAATTTTAAGATTCAGCTGTAGAGGATCCTCTGTATTAGAATATTTAAAAATATCAATGAAGCATATTGGGTCCATTCCATGAAATATATAGTGTTACTCAGATATGAGACAGAGGGGGTTCCACTCTGTGAGGAATATATCTGATATGTAACAGTCGGGGCCCAATATTTCTATAATACAAGACAGAGTGGGTTCTTGCCGTGGGCCTGGATAAAATCTATATCCTAGCCCACCCAACACCACATTCACACGTATACCCACACCACATATACACACACACACACACACACACACACACACACACACACACACACACACACACACATAGTGTTGGTAGTAATTATATGAGTGTGAACCCAACAGTGTTGGAGGCCTCTGGACTCCTGGTACCCCTTAAATACTAACATACACCCTCGGAGAAATGAGATGGGGAAACACACACACCTGAAAGTAGAACCCACCAGCCACCAAAACCATTGTAAGATCCAGAGCCAGAATGCAGCCTGCTCTTAAATCAACAACACTGCAACATTCCCTCTCCTCTCCTCTCCTCTCCTTTCTGGAAACTGATCATGTATTTTATTGGCATAAACAGCTTTTTAAAATTTTCCTGAGTAGAACATTTATTAGGAAAAAAAGTCCTCCAGTGCCTCATTTTATACTCCTGTGAGTGCTGAAGATGAACCCCCAACCAAGTGTACCCAGCTACATTTCTTAAAAGAAATTGGTCAACCTCCTATCTCTTTAACATTTTTTTTAGATTATTTTTTGGCATTTTTACAAATTACTGTAGAAAACGACAGGAAATATTTTGTGTTGGAGCGAAGAAGAGGAATGACCTGCAGCAAAGGTCCCAGGCTGGATTCAAACCATGGGGGCTATGTGGTATGCATCTTAGACCACTAGGCCACCAGGACGCAAGTATTTCTTTTCCTGTAAAGAGATATATGGTTTGAAAGTTATAAAGCCTAGGGAGACACAGGAGAGAAGATCCTAGTCTTAGACAGGCATCCATTTTGGTCCAAAGGTGCTGTTTACTCACCACTAAGCCATTTCTGGCACATACTCAGCTTCTGCTTTGTACCGATCTGGCTCGCTGGTGTTGAGGGATTGATTCCGCTTGTCTCCTTCTTTTGGATGGTAGACGGTGACTTTGCTGACAGGGGCCCCTCCGCTCACAGCTGTCTCATACATAGTTTGTACACAAGCCGTGTCCCGTTACATCCGCACTGTCCCTGCTACTGCCAAATGAGCATTTCTGAACAACGCTGTGTATGAATCAACTTGTGTGTGTGTGTGTGTGTGTGTGTGTGTGTGTGTGTGTGTGTGTTTTTGTTCGTGTGTGTCCACCTGTTCTGTCCATCATGGGGGGCGGGGGACGGGGGACAGCTGCGGAGTCTGTTTGGCGTCAGGCTGCCAGTGAGCGACATCCATCACGGACGCTACCCAGCTGGTATACCGCATGAACACATGTATAGAGGCAAATGCATTCACATCTATCACCAGCTGTGGAAAGTGCCTACTGTAAATAATATATACAGTGCACACAATACTCACAAATCCCACATTTTTCCATAACCCCTTTTTGCTACTCTGGCTCTCATGCTAGTCTGTTACTAAGTCTGTTTACAGTGTAGACTAGCTAATTAGTTTGGATATAAATCTCAGGCTCTGTGAATTTTAAATGGTGCAACCTGACTGACTGTCTAGACATTTTGGAGGTGGGACATCCTGCTCGAATAAAGTGATAGAATGAGATTTTTCCAGGCAGTTGATGGATGGACAAACAGTCCAACCTTAGCAAAGTGGAGGCAGTTTCATTAGACAAAGTGTCACGGCGTTTACAGCGCTCTGCGGATTTACCTGATTTAATAGGGGGTAAAATAAATGTGTGTATTTGTGCTTGTCTGTGCTTTTAGAACAGAAAGCCCCACCTCGGCAGCTCATGACTTTGTGTATAATTACTCCCACACCTCTCCTGCCTTCCCTCCTTTCCCCCTAGCTCCTTCTCACTTTACCTGCAACAGCTTAGCTTTTTACTCCCTCCTTCCTACTTCTTTGCTTTTCTCATCTTTTATTTTCTCTTTTTTTTGACAGTTCCACTTTTCTTTTTCTCATCCTTCTTCCCCGTCTGTCTTCACTTTCCCCCCTCCTCAATCCCTTCCTCTTTCCTTCTCTCTTACTCCATCCCTCATAGCTCCAGGTTTGTCGGTGAGGGATTTGGTGCTTGTGCTTTAGTCGATTTAAGACCACTTGCTTATAAGACTCATTCACAAACACTGCTGCTACATTAACACATGTGTGCATGCTTAAACATACAAAACAAGTTGTTGTAGTTTAAAATGTTAAATTATCGCACTCTGCGCTATATATTTAACATATCTTTTACACACTTCTCCAGATTTTTGTCCATTGTGGGTGGAAGTGCAGACCAGATTGGGAGTGCAGGCCTGCGACAGTGTGTGGAGAGCAAGGTTAGGACCAGCAGTATCGAGGAACTGGCCAAGACAGTGGACACCACACCTGAGACCCTTAAACTCATAATAGATGGCCTCACGCAGCCCCCCGGGTTTGACATACGACAAAGTAAGAATCCAGCCGCTCACAGTCGCACTGAAATATTGATATCAATTCTACTTCAATTCAATTGTAATTTACAATGTGATTAGAATTGTGGAAAAACACAAAGAACAAGAATACAAAGGGTAGGGCAACATTTAAATATTAAATTAAATATTTATCCACATAAACATAAAATTTACACTGATTTTTTTTAATGGTTTTTGATATTTCTGATTGTGAGAGGAATTAGACAATGTTTATGTGTTTATGTTCATTACATACCCTTTTTATCATTAATTCATAGGAGTCCAAATTGAGCAAAACCACAGTTAAACTCTTATTTCTCTGTATTTACCCTATGTCATAAATGTGATATTCCTACATACATTTTTCTGCAAAATCGTGTCACTGAACACAAAACTATCAGTGTTTTGGATCATATAACATTTCATAGACTACACAAATCTGCAACCTTGGAGTCACAGTAAATCCTCTTAGTCTCTCATCTTTCTTTCATAATGTCCTTTCTTAGTCCCAACAGACTGATAGAAAGTTGAACTTGTATTTGTTCTTTGACTGGTTTGCTAGTTAAAACACACACTGCCTTTTTCTTGTTATTATAATAGGCATGTCTTGGCAGTGTAATGTGATATGATCTGACAGTGCTGTGGCTTCCTCCCTATAGCCCAACAACACAAGCACTATGTTTCTGACAGGGTGTGATGGGTCCAGCAGACTGTGTTGTTGGACAGAATATCTTTACAGACACCAACAAATACAAAGACTCTGTTTTTCTCCTTTATTTCATCGTATTTGGTTCAGTCACACATAACCATACTAATAAAATCCTACACAGTCAAGTTTAAGAATTGCAGCAGTTTTGAAATACAATGTGTATGAAATACAAGAGCTCAAAATTATTTAAAATGAAAACAAAAGTGAGAAACATTTACCAAAGACATTATCAACTATTGTTGTGTTTTTGTACTTGTTACGCTATACTCACTGATTCTGGAAACATGATTTTAAGAATCAAAACAAACTGAATTCTGGCGCGCAAATAGTATTCTTGTTTATTGTGGGCAAAAATGCAACACATTTTTAGCTAGTAGCCTTCATCAGTGTAGTAAAACAGGTGAGGTTCAAACAACAACAACAAGTACAAATATAATTGTGTGATAGCATCTTATCGTGAAAAAACACCCCGAAGTGGCCTCTCCTGATGAAGCAGGTGTGACCAAAAAAATTACGAAACACTTACTAGTGTTGTGAGCTGAAAGGTAATGGATATGTATGACTGAATTTCCAAGCCTAGAAACTATATATAAAGTACTATACAGTCCAGATTCATAAATGAAGATACACATAAAAAAAGCAATCACTGCAAAACAGAGAAATAACAGAATAGAACCCTTATATAGTACATAGCCTCTATTGAGGAAAATATTAACATTAGTCTATGCTTAAAACTGTCCAAAATACACAAATAAATGCTCCTAGAGGATAGAAAACTCTCTGAAACAGGATTTGTCTATACTGGTGACACATAACATGTATAAAGATATAGATTAAGAGCCATATGACACTATTTTCACTATAACTTTTAGAATTACTTTTTCTGAAAGATAAATGAGATAATTATCCTTCTCTTACGTTGTAAGGGAATGTAGAACAAGGCTATTTGGCCTAATGTTCTTATGTAAAACAAGGAGCAAATGCAAAAAAAAAAACAACAAAGAAAACTCTTATTTCCAGACTGGTCAGTTGAATAGAAAAATATTTCCGTGCCCTATTACCAGGCTCTTATTTTTCATAGAGTTTTATGTGGAGAGGAAAAAGGTGAAGCCTGGATACCCAGTTAGTGCTGGCTAACCCTTCTTTAAAATTAAGGAACGCAGCTCCAAGGTTCATTCACAGGTTGGCCCTCTTCGGTTGCAGCACATTACGCTTGGCCTCCTAGCCAGTGCTCAGCTGAGTAAACAGATGGGCTGAGGCTACCGCATGAAATCAGTGCTATGGGGAGGATAATTGGACCGGACTATTTCCTGGGGCACGAGCCTTCCTTGTTTGTGTTAATGCTACAGAAGGGAAAAAGATCTCACATGAACAGGCCAAGTGGAAAGTGGGGTAAAATAGAATGCTGAGAAATGTAGAAGTATTCAGACACAAGTATTGGGTTGCTGCTCGAAATGTAATATCTGTTTGTCATTTCAGCCCCCGCCCCTTGCTTTCCTGCATCCCCTTTTCCCGCCTCTCCTCCCAACATTTGTGCTAGCTGCCACTCGTACCTGATTTTGGCATTTTCTCTTTTTGCCATCCCCAGATTTTGGGCAAGCCGACTTTAAGCGGGGCATTGTGTCGATGAGTGATCTGCGGGTGGGTGCGGTGCTGACGGGCCGGGTGGACAACACAGCTCTGTTCGGGGCTTTTGTAGATATCGGTGTTGGCCGCTCAGGCCTTATCCACAAGAGCAACATCACCCTGGACAAACTGCCTGTCAGCCAGCGCCGCCGAAGCCTGGCTCTGGGCCCTGGGGAACGGGTGGAGGTCCGGGTCCTGAATGTGGACCCTCAGAGGGGACGGATTGGCCTGGACTTGATCAGAGTCCTGCAGTAGAGCCACTTAGTTCCCACATTTAACACACTACACGACTGGATTTATGAATATGGAAATTACACACAAAACTACTGAGATGCAAATTACTTAATGATGGTTACAGTGATTGTGGAGAACTGATATGGAACTAAGCAGAGCTGAATAAGGAATTTTAACAGGCAACCTGCTAAGAGTATTTTTAGTAATGGCCCTTTCATTTGTGATCACAATCACACACATATAACCAATGTTGGCATTTTTTTTCATTTATGGTCAAAAGGGTCAAATTAAAAGACTGCATGTTAATTTTAAAACAATCCAATTAAGATCAGCTGTTAGAAGTTCAGTGAAATAAATCAAACTGAAGTTCATTACAGTTATGGTCATGGAGGCTTTCTTTCCCTGGAAGACATTTTGTCAGGCAGCACTTACTGTCAGCCTGAGTATGTTCTCTGTGTATCATTGGAAGTGGTACATTGCAAACCCGGTTGCCTAATTCAAGGTAAAACTCTGCCTTCTTGTTTGTCAATTAGCTATCTGCACACACTGTTGTTTACCAATCATTAGAGGAGACTGATGGGTTCACTGAGATGGAACCCATAATTATTTGCACTTTCACAATAGTGCAGATAGATTCAAACTTAAGCTGCTATTGTTTATTTTCTCTAAATATAATAATAATAATAATGATGGTTATTCACATACTTATTCACATTCAACTCTTCAAGAGATGTTTTGTTTTGTACTGCTCTGAACAATTTGTCAATACAGATCTTTGTTATTTAAATCAGACTTTGTTTACTGTGTTTGGACAACCAACTAAAGGACTCAACGTGTAATCTTTACACTCATTTGAAATTGTAACCACACACGGTTCTCATGGGCAGATGAAGTTTTGACATTAAAAATATTTCCTGTATACCTTGCACTCTGGATGTATATTTTCTGACAATGAAGAATTCAGCACATTACGCACTCAGCAGTGAGTTCTGATTCACGTCTGATGGGAGGGGCATTGGTGAGAATAAGGAAGAGGGGTAGATGGCATGAAGAGGGGAGAAAAGAAAGGTGGGACAAAAAGAAGAGCGGATGTGTTAAGTGATGGAAAGAGGAAAGAAGACACCACTTAAAGAACAAGTTTTTCTTCCAGACAACAGGAAAATGTGAAGACAGTATGAGTGGGAAGGAGGGGGGGAAGGGCGGATACGGGGATATGGGGATAGGAGGAGGGAGGGACTGTTTGTATCTCCCAGACTGCAGCAAAGCCTGAAGGCTTTTTAGGCATGGGCCCAGACACAATTATCCCAGGACACACACACAAACACACACACTAATCAGCTGCTTCAAAATTAATCCCAGACTCCCCATCCACATTATCTAATTTGTTTGTTTTTATGAAACTGGAATAAATAAATAAAAAATACATAAAATATGGTTCTGAGAAAGCCTGAGGTCCCTTGTGCTAAACCTTATACTGAATGCAGAATACCTAATCACCGTTAGTGCTGCTGCTTCACTATCTCCCCTTGGGGGAACAAATAGAATACATTCTAGACACACAAACGCAAAGAGATGTTCGATCAGGATTAATCAGAAGTGGCAGTTTGCTTAGTGTTGGTCTGAGAAAACTACACACACATACATACAGACTAAATTCAGATTCTGTATTTCATTGTCTTACTTTGCAAATTCCATTTTCTAATCAAGGTGCCTCATTTTATTTGACACTAACTCCCTTTGTCATTGTGTTGTCTTTTGTTCGTTTTGATCTCATATACTGTAGCTTGGCACAGTCTCTTGTTTAATGTTTCCAGTGTTTTTGTCTTGGGGAACACATGTAAGTAGACGCAGCTTCCCTCAGCATCATTCCTGCTTTTCCCACCTTTAATTTTCCTCCCTCTACTAAACGTGAGCACACAGATGGGACAGGCAATCTGGCAGCCAGCTACTGCTGCCCCTTGGAGTCTTTGTCAAACACTGACCAGTAATGAGCCTGTGATAAGAAGAAGAGTGACTGCGGGAGTAGTTGTGTAGTTCTCTTATCCTCTGCTGCCCTGGTTCACAGCTGTCGTGTTATGAAGTGAGCTCAGGTGTGCCTTGAGGTTTTGGTGAAATGTGAAGAAAATTGATGGCAAGCAATTGAATGAATGGCATACTTTTGCTCATGAAACATCTTGGCTATTTGTTTTCCTAGGCTATTAAAAAAAATATTCCACATGGTCATACAAGGCTTTCTTTTATCATCTTTTGTTCAAAGCCATAGAGACACAGGTGGATACAAAATGAGATTAACTTTTTTCCCACAGTAGCAGAGAGAATGGTTCTCACAGCTAGAAAAATGCATCCTGCTAAGCCAACACTGAGTAGGGAATAGTTTTCTCTGTTGATCTCTGATTTCTTAGACCACCTGTCAAAGACACAAACATGAGTCTGAAGCATTTCAAAGTAAGTACAGGTGAAAAAGTTTTTCCTGAGATTGGTGTAAAAGGAAAAGCCATAGGGGCAATAATACTAAAATGATTTATTTCCTTGGTAGCACGAATGTGTTCAGAAAATTTCAAGGCAAATTATTTTTTTAGATTATGGGATATCTTGAGGGAATCCCAAGTATCCATAACACATTTCATGGATGGATGGATGGATGGATGGATGGATGGTTGGTTGGTTGGTTGGTTGGTTGGGCAGACAGACAAAATTACCACCTTTATGCCCCTAACGCATGTGTCACACGCGCAGCTAGCTGTGAAGATAGCAGTGGTGATCTTTGGAGGTATGTGAATACTGGAGCTGACGTAACAAAGAAAAAAACTTAAGTTGCATTCACTGTTTGCAATTATTAGTGCTGTAGTACTCTGTAGTATTCAAAAAAAAAGTTCTTAGGCCAATGCATGATTGAGTATTTACAGTGGACACTCATGATACACAGCAAAATAAATAGGACTTTGAATGTTTAATGTGTCTATGCCAGCTAAGGCAAATTAGTGCTTTTTAGCTCCTCTCCATTGGCTCCTTGTGACTTTGACAAAAAATTATATGGAAATGAGTAACAGTAATTTAACATTTTCATTTATCATTAATATATTGTAGACCTACAATAATTATTTAATTCTGCAATTGTATATGTAGCCATTACACACTGTAATATGATAATGCTTTAACATTTTGTCCAGTAAAATATTTATATATACATATTTTACGTACCTTGGCTCCCTTTGCTCTATATTTTCCCAAACCACAATACCGGTGGCTGCAAGTCTTGAGTCTCCCTAGCTAGGCTAGCTATTAGTTAACTAAGAGGATTTAATACTGCGTGGTCGGATTTGTTTGCTTTCACCACCAATACTGCTGGCTTACAGGTATGGCAATCTGCGGCAATCTGCATGCCGCACACAAGCTGTCTTTTTACATGTGATAGCTCTACAGCAACACTAGCAATAGGCAATATGATAAATAGGGTTGTCAAATTTAGAGTACCTGCTGCCTGAAAGTAAAGTGGGGGAGTATTACACCTCTAGTCACAGAGGTGCCCAGGCGTCTGTGCTCTGAACTTTCTCTCCTCTTCTTTCCTTTGTGTTGGTCCATGGCTATGATTGCCACAGTGTGATTGCAATGGTTAGTGCTGGTTTCTCCATCCAACAGAACATAACTCCAGGTTAGCGGTGTGACCACTGACATCAATACGATCTCCCTTTGGCTACAGATGTAAGTTCTGTGAGAAAACTAATCTCTGTGGTTTACACACATTTATACCGACGGTATTACCAAAGATGTACTCCCATGTTGACTCACAACATCTGGAGACGGACTTAAATTGCCATTTCACTTGGCTGAAACCAACTGTTTAGCAAACCTTCCTCCCCTGTAGCAGAAAAAGATGCTGCAACCAACTCTGTATAGACTTTAACTGTTCAAAAACTTTATATGTCCAAAGTTTGGCAACGCAAATCACCCTAAAAAAAGATTTATATTTCAAGATAGTTTGTTCTTTAATAGTCTTTTTTTTTAAATCTACAAGTTTTTAAGTTTTGAGTAAGTTGCATTGCTAAAGAAATGCGACAATTTTTAAATTAATTGTATTTTTAAGACTTCTTTTTAAGTAAGTCTCTGTTTTATATTATTATATGCTAAATATTTAGTTACTAGACTGTTGGTTGAACAAAAAAGGCCTTTGAAGATGTCACCTTGGCTTTCTACAGTATTGTAAGAGATTATTCTAGAGAATAACTGGAATATTAATAAATTATAAAAAATAATCAATAGTTGAAGCCCTAGTTTGTTTACTCGCTCCTATATTTTAAAGAAAGATAGCGCAAGACCATAACATGACAGAAATGTACACCCATTATACCCATACACTAACACTACGTGTGTGAGCACATAAGTGGTAAAAGCCAGAGTGAAAACAGAGGACTTTTTAACCAAGAGTTTGTTTGTGCTGAATGCAAACATCAGTCACAAAAACAAAACTTTCTCTCATATTCTTGTTTTCCAGCGTCTTGTGACACATACTTAAAAATTCCACATAGGCGGAGGGTGAGACAGACTTTGGCTTTTGGCATCACCGGTGAAAAACAGGAGTAAAGAGAGGAGAGATGGATGAATGGAGGCAGGAGAGAGAGAGAGGGATGGAATGAGACAGGAAATGAAAGGCTTTCTCCGGTTTCACTCCCCGTGACCTCATCAGTGTGATCATGGGTTTTATGAGCTTTCCCTCTCGACGCCCACACACCACCTCACACGTGCCAGGACACACACACACACACACACACACACACACACTCTCTCTCACACTCACACTTCAGGCCGTATATTTCATTCACTGGCTCAGAGACAAACACACAGTACATGTGTTTTTGTCTCTCTGTCTGTTCCTTTTCTCACACTCCGTCAACCTTTCACATACTTCATCACACACCCGGCTGCTCAAAGAAGCCGACCCTCACTTAGAGCCACTGACACATAAATACTGACAGAGAGAAGAAAAAAATTGTCTTTATTACTGATTTCATTAGTCTTTGCAGGGAAAGTATGAGACTGTAATGAAATAAAACCATATTAACTAAGCAAAGGTGATAAAATATATGAAAGCCATAACATTTACATATCCTGCAGAATAAGCACTCTGAGCACGTATGCACACAAACCCACATTATAACGAGACAGGTATTCCTGAGGGAGGATGATGTGACTTTTTGCATTACACCTCGCCAACAGAACTTCCCCAGTGAGGGGAACGATAAATGAGCAAGCATCTGATTAGTAGCAGTTAGTGTGATTTCCATGTGGGAAGATGCATCTCCAGCGCACTTGTGCATTTCCCCCTCCCTTCCTCTTTCCTTTCTTTCCTCCAGGTCATCTCTTGTGCTGACATTCATTTCCCAACTCTCTGCTCACCATTTCTAAAACTACTGCTACGTCAGTTACAATTCCCAGTCTCCAGCAGCTTTGCCACTTATCTCCACAAAGTGGGTAATGCCTTAAGACTGCGTGTTTGTTTTAATCAGTATTAAGTCTTCTTGGATGTGGAGTGGAAAAGCAGGGAAAAGGAACCAGAGGATGGGGTATGTCAAGAGAAAAGTCCCCTTTGGCAGTGATTCCTGAGTAAATATTTTCATAGGTGCCAGGTGTTCACCAGCAATCCTCCACAGACTTGTACACAGAATAGGAAATTATATCTTGACTAATCTTGTATTTATTGACAGTTTTAGATACAGTAGAAACACACAGCAAAGGAAAAATAAGGGAACCAAATAATAGATCAATCAGGAGAGAAAGTGAGACTGCAAAAAAAGATTATTGTAACTCTCCAGTTGCCAGTGTCTACTGTAGCAGCAACATCAATCATTTTACACAGACTGAGGCCAGCCAGTTCTGTAACAGCTGATTTTGTTTCCCCTTGTTTTAATGGATCATGCATAT